ATAATTTTATCAAAAAATGTTCTTATCTTTAAGCTACGATTATATACGATGTCAATTTTTATTGCATTTCCTTCTAATATCTCATAAACTTATTCATCATTTTGTATCGAAATCGTATTATATATAACCTCAATCTTAACAATCTATTACACACACGAAATCGATTTGTACGAATTATATTGTTATCGACTTAAAAACAATTTCTCACGATCCTCAGAAATTTATTATCTGCGCCTGTATACGAGTTTGAACGATGTTCTACTTAACATGTAGCATCCTACGCGATAGAAAAATTATTGTCCATTTTAGGACATATATCGAATCGCGAATTTGGTCTATATTTAATCTATATCCCGAAACCGGAAAACTTGGTGCCAGCGTGTCTGTGTCATTGGCCGTTGGATACTAGAAAATTATACGCTGTGCTCAATGCACACACGTTTCCTTGTCCACTGTCATTTTCCTGGGTGTGGAAAATGTATTTGTGAGAGATCTATCCGCGAAAAAAACAGTGAATTCTAGATATTCCCTCTTTTGTCTCGTTCCTGATTCCCCACACCTGAACCTTTGGCTTTCGGAATTGTTTTTATGAAATGGAAGAAATATCGTGACACGAGAAAAATACGTTTAAGGGGTCTATCGATCGTAGAGGCGAAAGAACAAAGATTCCTAGCCGAGATTCGTACTTCTGGCTTTTTGCTTTCGCGGAATTGGTGAAATATCGCATTACTGGGGATAAAACATTTGGTTCCTGGGTGAAATTGAAAGGGATTTTCGTCTCTTGAGCACGGGATAAACCAAGTATACGAAAGATAGAAATTATGGGAAGTAAGTTGAAAAAAAGAAAAAAAAAAATCTTCGTTCAGTTGATCAAAATTTAACATAGAAAATATTAATGTAATGATTATCCATAGAGATTTGAATAAATGTTTTTTCTATGTTAAACACAAATTAATACGATTTGTTTCGTTATTTACTAATAATAAATTGTATATTGAATTAAAATTTGTTGAAATACAATGAGCATAAAAAATATAAGTATGAAAATTACGTATATATATATATATATAAATTAATTAAATTTTAAAAATTTCAGAAGATATATTTTTTACAAATATTATTCAATAGACACAATGCTTTAATTATAATTATATACGAATATTCTTTATGCTCATATCTATAGTACTCTAAAATATTAAAAATAAGATTCAATATATGATTTGAATTAGTCGCCATCTTATTTTATATTAATTATATTATATATTAATACAAGCAAAGAAATCAATTATATAAGAATGCATATATATTTGCCTAAATTTATATATCTATATAATAAAATACATAATAGAATAATTGTCTTATAGACAATTCATTCGTATATATAATCTAAATACGAGATAAAGCTTGAAGCATTAAAAATAAAATTCAATGTATGATTCGAATTATATCGGCCGCCATCTTAATTTACATATATTAATACAAGCAAAGGAATCAATTACTTGAGTTCTATAGAATACTTTATATGTACTTATGTGCCAATATTTATATAACTACATAATAAAATATATGATATTATAATAATTCTCTTAGTCATTCATTCGTATGTATGATCTAAATAAGAGATAAAGCTTTTTTTTATTGTGATTTTAGCAATTATCCTGGCTTCTACGTCTTTCCGTATTGTCGTATAAAACATGTCACGTATTCAATAGATTTAAAGTTTATTCTTGTACTTACCACTTCTGCGAATAAATATAGATGATATTTCTACTAGGATGCAACTCCTTATAGCTTTCTTGATGCAAAAATACACTTTTTTAAACAATAAAACTACAAAACTTTCCAAATTTACACTACTGTAACTGCGCACTTCACTTGACGACACTAGAATGCCAAATGAATAAACGCGGCACTACGCATGCGTCAAGAGCAAGTATGCCAAAGAAAAGCCCGCCAAATGAATGTCTATTTTCTTAATTTATTAAAAATAAAAAGAAAATTATGATTATTTGAAAATACAGAAAATTCTAGCATATTTTTTTGCAATTTTTGCATTTTAAATTTCTTATGAAAAATGATTTTTTCATATCAGCAAATATGCAAGTAGCATCATAACGGAATATCAGAAAAATATTAGTCAAATTTTCATCAAATATTTGTTCAATTTATTATGTATAATATGAATGCTGTTTGAATTTTATTATTAATGATCGTCTAAATTCATTTTATTAATGTAAATTAAATAACTTTAATTAAATAAATGCTATTAAGCTGAAAATACTAATTCTATAATAGATATAAAAATTTTTTGATGTACAGATATTTTCATATTTTGATCATCAATCAAACATAATCCATATTTTGAAATTAATTTTACATAAAATATTTCAACACGAAAATAATTTTATATATTTTTCTTGCATGTCATTGGTTAATTAATAATTGCAAATTGTACTTGATTTGACTAGTGACGTGAAGTTCGCCATTAAAGAAAAGTGATCACGTCTTGTGGAATCATAAGTGCGTAGTTATCGTTAAAAAATAATTAATTAAAAATTTCGAATAAAGTTAATGGAATTATTTATTAAATTACTTATTAAAGTGCTTGAATAACATTTACTCGTAGCTATTATAATTATATAGTACCCATTTTTCATATAATTTTGATTATTTGGCTTTAGTTATTTGCAGTTATTCAATGCTTTGAACAATAAATTATTGAAATAACTTTATTCTTAATTTTAATTATTAAATTTTGCCCATCTATGTTTGAAACTTATACTTTAGTTTAATTTTTCATATTAAGTGCATACATCGAAGCTATGAAGAAAATGATAAAAAATATACTGAAAAAATAAGATAGATTTATATGTTTTTCGTTTTAAGCAATCATATTTTACTACTATTTCAGCTATTTCTATGTAAGTAACATCCTGTTGAAATCTTTGAAAATAAATTTCATTGTTCGAAATTTTTGACCTGAAATTTCTTTTTATGTAGTGGTATGGCGTAGTACATTGTGCGATTGACAGACTATATTTCTGTACGTGACGAATTCTTCTGTGTTACAGGTATTTATTACACATTTTTTTATAATTTATGTTTCAATTTATACTATTTGAATAATATTTCTCAAATTAAAATATATTAAATGAGAAAATACAAACGAATATGTTTTATTCATAAATTTAATTTTAACCTCAATTATCCTTCTACTCTAATCTACTCTCTTTGTATTTTTTTTCTGTAGTTTTATATTTTAATAATTATAATTAAATAGGAATTTATTTTATTAATTTATCATTCAAATATTATTTAATGTAAATTTAATATTTTGAAAGTATTAACTTAAAATAACCTAAAATAATTTAATAGTAAAATATATTATCAATATATTAGAATGTATTGCAAACAATGAAATATATTAGCAATAGATTAGAATGTAGTTCAATAATATAATATATTATATTATATTTGTATTATTAGATATACAGAATATTTTTTGTTTTTTTTTTTCTTTTTTTACAAAAAGAATAGTTTCTTTTAAAATATTTCAAAATAAATCTTAAAGTAATATTCAAATAAATTTTAGTTCATACAAGTATATTTAATTCTTTCGAATATTTAATATATTTATTAAAAAACTAATGAAATAATGATTAAAAATAAAAATACTTTTAGAATAGATTTTAAATATGAAAATAGAAAACATTTCCATTTAAAATTGATCTTAAATTAAAGAAACATTTAAAGTTATATTAATTTCATAATTTTATATGTTTCTTATGTTTTATTGATTCTATTATATAGTATTTTATTATAGTATTATATATATATTATATAGTATATATAATTACAGTATTTTATATAAATTTATATAACTTAAACATTTAATTTTTATTAATATTATAATTTTCAATGTTTTATATTCTATCTACGTTAAATTTAGCATAGTAATTAAAATAATATTTCAAAATCATTTTAAAATTCTTTTTTTTTTTAGTTAATATTTAAATTTAATCATATATAACATTCTCTTTATATTTTTTCATTTGATTTACACAATATAAGTTATATTCTTTTTACATTTACTTTTATCAATGTCAAATTTTAAAATAAAAGTTGATTTCCTTTGTTAATTTATATTTGTAAGTACTTTTATCAACTTAATTTAAAACTCTTATAAATATATCAACAAAAATTGAACAAAGTGATAGCAAAAAATAAAAATAAAGTCTCAATCTCTCTTTGAAATAAGAAGAATTCAGATTAGGTTAGGTTAGCTTCTCTCAGGAGAAAATTTTTTTCTTTTTGTTCTCTTTTTTTTATTTTCTTTGAGATTTCTTCTGAAAATTTAAACAATTGTATGTGTTCCATAACTATTGTTTCAAAGTCCCAATTACCTCATGTTAAATGTTCCAATTTCTAATGTGTTAAAAGATAAAAAAAAAAAAAGAGAGAAACACGAGCGACAGATAATTGTATTTTATCCATGATCAGAGATTCCTTTGCAATCAAACAGAGATGAATTGCCTTCGTTTTATCTTTTCATTCTAGCTTTCATTTTATTCATGATAATAATCTACTGATCAATTTTTGAAGATACAGATCTGTTTGATGCATCGAATCGTTTCAAATAGAATTTTCTTTTTGCTTGCTACACTTTTGAATATTCGTAAAACGTTGCTTTAAAATTTCACGTAAAAACATACAATATGATTAAATGAATACATTCATACGATGCTTTTCTTCTCGATCGTGATTCTCTAGATCAAATACAAGGAGAAACGCTTGAGTACTTGTTCTTGAATAGTGATATAGAAACCATGGAAGTTTAGAAGTATTCTAAACTTGGCGATAACTATCCGTAGTGCGGTTCACGAAGATCTCGAAGATTAGCAACTCGTCTTCAATAAGTGACCTCTTGCAATGTATTAGAGAACCAAGATTTATCGAACTTTGCATGCTATGCATCTTATAGTCATATTAATTGATCGATAGGAACTTTGTATCGAATAGTTTCGAATAAAATAGAGTTAATTACTCGTTCTAATACGTATATATAACGAAATTAAGATCGATATTGATATCTAGAATTTATAAGTTAGGGAACTAGAAATAGAAACTTTTATTCTCGTTTGAATAAAGATTATTTTTCACGCGATAGGTTGCATTCAAAGCTTCCGAAATATTTTAATTCTTTGCAAAAAAACTGAACTAGCTTCTATTTAAAATATCATCCTATTAAATAACAAATACCATCAGAATCGACAATAATTCAACACTCGGTGACGAAATTTCCAAGCAATCCGAACTCTCGCGTCAGATTTACGAATAACTAATTTAATCCACACGATTCAAAGCTTCGAACTTCTAGCTCGAAATGTGAACACCTGTAGGGAACAGTTCAGGTTAACTGGATATAGAATTTAACGCGATAGAAGCACGGGATCCGTGGGAACAAATGAGTCGTAACTATTGTACTGTCGAACATTATATCTGTCGAATTCGGAAATGCAAAGTCGCCGCGAATTCCTTCGCAAGGATTTCCATTCGTGGTTTCATTGTCAATGCGTTGTTGTGCGCGAGATCCAAGAAAGTCGACGAGTGACTGATGGAACGTTGAATCGTTCGAAATTCGCGAGAACCGGGGTCGAATATAGTTTCGTACTTTGGCGAACGGATAATTAGCGGAATGGAAGGAATTGATAGATGGTTAAATGGCAAGACATCGAATGAGACCAATGGCTTATAGTTGGATCTGTGTATGGATGAAAGCGCAGACGGAGTTCACGTGGAAATAGCTGATTCCAATTTACCAGTTTCTCGAGTAGGGATTATTTGAACTCAAACCAATTAACTGAGCTTAGGTGCGTATACAGGCAATAGAGAGTATCTTGTGTATAATTATTTGCCATTGAAATTAGGCAGATCGTGCTTTTTACGTGAAATATTTGAGATTGTAAATTTTAGAAAAAGAATAGGTTCGATTTTTCGAAATTTTTTACTTTTTTAACTGAGTGTATTTTAGTAATAGAAAATGAAGAATGAATTGTGATTACGTAAAAGAATAATTTTTTATTTTTATTTTTATTTTTATTTTATTTTTTTTTATTTATTTTTATTTTTTTCGAGTTGCTTTGGAACTATGTCTCATTTTTTTTAATTGGATATGGAAAATACATTATTCTATAGATTTTCTGTAATCTTCGTGTAATCGATTACACTTCTTGAACAGTATTACAATTCGCTTCGTACGTCTAATGTGCTTTTTATTTTACGAGCTTTTCCTTTACGTAACATTGAAACTTGTACTATTTTCCTGCTACTAAGTTTCGTTTGCTCTAAAGACGAAGTTAATTACCCTCGACGCCATTCTCCGTTTACCCTCGCAATTCGGCCAAGCAAGGGCTGTTTATCTTATCTTTTCGCAACTTTTTCCTTTTCTATTCGAAAGGAAAGACTCCTCCATCTTCACTTTCTTATCTTTTCTTCGCGAGGAATTATCGAATGACAGATTAGCATAATATTCGTAGTATTAACGTAATATTCGATATCGTTTATTGTTTCTCTCTGGCTGATAAAATATTTGACAAAAGATGATCAAATCTTGGATTCAGAAAATAAAAAGAGATAGGAATGGATGATAGTCTAGAAAAATTTAATCTAGGATTTAATCTCTATTAGAAAGAATATCTTTCTCTCGTCCTTAAAATAAAATTTCAAACGGGAGAGCATTTCTACTTCTTCTTTTTTCAAATTTTTAATCTTCGATGGATGGATGAGATGGCAAAGAAAATTTAATTCACTTTCTGCCAATTTTCAATAACAATATTCTAATTTTTATCGGAACATTTCCTTTCTCTCTGAAACAAAATTTTAAATAAAAAAAAGCCTCGATTTTTCCTTTCTCGAAAAAGAAGTCTGAAATGGGGAAAAATGACAAGTATCGTTCGATAGTAGTCTGAAGATGGTTCCAGCTAAGCTAACCGACCTTCTTCAAGAATGCTTTGGCGAAAGGCCAAAAAAACATGACATTACGATTGTCACGTTTTTCTCTCGAGACGTCTCAGTTGCGATTTCCGGGCTGGAACATCCGGGATCTCATCCGTTGGGTCGGTCAGCTTTATCCACGGCTAAATCATCGGTCGTCTTGCAACCGATCCCAACCATTTCGACGATCGATTGAATCACGGGGGGATTGTTTTTCCTCATCGTCTCTGACCCCGATGTATTGGCCTAAATGTATAACTCGCACGATTGTCCCTCCTTCCCTCGTTTCGTGCCGCACTTTTTATCCGTTCTCTCTTTTGTGGACGCAACGGGATATTTTATTCCATTGTTGTCCATTGTTTTCGCGACAATAGGGATGAAAACTCCGGACAATTCGGAAGAAATAAGGAGGATTTGCTACGTTCGGTGATTTTCCGAGTGGAAAATTACTACTCGAGTGATCAGAATATAAAGGGAATCATAGAGTTGAGAAATTTCTTTGTGTATCGGTTATTGTGATTTATTCGATTTGATGGGGAAAAAAAGAAGTATTTTTTAATCCTTAATACTTGGAAATATCTTATTCAGATCCTCAAGTAGAGAGTCTTGAATGATATAGAATCTATAGTCTTAAAATTTGATACTGATAGAAAATAATGATAGAAAATATTCTACGATAATTTGTAGAATGTTCTAGTTTAATTGAATATGTTATCTCTAATTCGATAGATGTAACCATTTTTGAATTTTTCTAGACAAAATTATTCTGTTTATACTAACAGATTCTCATAAACACGAAAGTAGTGTAACGTTTTCATGATGTGTGTAATATAATAAGGGATAAAAGAGACATTTGCTCGTGAATGCTAGAAGCATTCTGTAGTTGAAGATGGCGTAAAACTCGAGGCATTTTGTTTCTCGAGTGTCTTAGAGAGCTAGAATAATCTTGGTATTTCAAATTCGACTTTAAACGCGGTTAATTGATATTTGAGCAATTTAATTTTTAATATTTTTTTACTTTTGAATCGCATTTTCATTTACATAGCATTTAAATTCTTAACGAAATCATGGTATCGTA